CACACACACACACACATATACACATACACACACATACACATACACGAACACACACACACACGCACACACACACACACACATACACACACACGCACACACACTCTCACAGAGAAAAAGACAGACAGACAGACAGACAGACAGACAGACAGACAGACAGACAGACAGAGAAGAGGAACATGGGGAGGCGGGGAGTGACGATTTTGAAGGGAGGAAAAAAACGTGTAAGAGAGGAGAGAGAAGGGGGAGGGAAGGGGGGATCGGGCACAAAGAATAGACCCTCTCTATTTTCCAGGAATGAACGACATCGTAGCGTGACAGTAAATAGATCTTACAAGTTTTTCTTGTTCGTTTTTTATTGTGGTGCTTTTTCCCCTGTTTTTAATACCAGTCTGTGTGATCAAAGTGAACTGAATAATTGAAAATCATGTTCCTCCACGTTGCATTTGTTTTGTATGTTCCCGTTTGGCGTTTTCAGACACACTCTTGGCGTTTCATGACGACCAGTCAAGGTAGATAACTTTGGCATTTCGGGGAAAACATTTTGACGTTTAAAAAATTTTAAAAAAAAGCATACCGTGTTTAAAATGGCAACAGGCGTAATTTATCAGTCCTATCGAAGCGAACATCGACAGCTAACAGGAAGCGGAATGCGTGATGCATGCTGGGTCTCTCATAAAGAAAAAGAAAAAAGAATAAGAAAAAAGGAAAATAAAAATAAATGAAAAGTGGGATTGGTTGAAAGGTGAGAGAAACAGTAACGGAACATTTTTACCTTTTCTTTTCACGTTTTCTTTTTCTTTTTTTGTGGGTGGGGGTGGGAGGAGGGGGGGGGGTTGTTTTTCCTTTACCCTCAGTCCATATTTTGTCGGGTTTTGTTTCGTAATTTAGAGCCAAGTGTTCGCTTTGTTTTTACATTGCTAGGAAAATGTTTGGTGTCAGATTGTGTGGCGTTATGTCTCTGTCCCGTGCAATAAGCAGCTTGAAATGTACAGTTATGTTTTGTAACGAAATAAATCTTCTGTGTTGATTGTACGGTTCACAAACAAAAATAGAGGCACAGACATACAGACTGAGGTACAGACATACAGACTGAGGTACAGACATACAGACTGAGGTACAGACATACAGACATACAGACATACAGACATACAGACATACAGACATGTAAACAGAAGAACAGACATTTGTTTTGTTTGTTTGTTTGTTTATTTATTTGTTTCTTTGTTGTTGTTGTTTATGGGGTGCACTGAAAGGCTGTATTTTTACTCGATAACTTGCTCGGCCATTCTCCGCCCACTGACCTCCCGAATTGTTTTTTGCTTTAAATAGTAGAGGGTTTTACGGCGCTCACAACTGCATAAGGTCATATGAGCACCAAGCTCCCAAGTGACGATACAACACCTTCTGTAGATCTATGGTGACAGGCAGGAAACGTTTCACCGATCATTCCGACGTTTTCTCCTGTAATTTTTTTTCTTTTTGCTGTGGGCAGACAGACTCTGTGCCTACGTCATCAAACCTGGACAAACAGCATGCGGGAAAGCTGCTCATGGGTTTGGTTTTTTTCTGGGGGGTTTTTGTTGTTGTTGTTTGTTTTTTGGTGTGGTTTTTTTTTTGGGGGGGGGATCTTTGTTTTTTTAAACTTTTTTTCCGATAGAACACTTTTAGGGAGCGTTTAACCCCCTCACCGCTGTGTGGTCCCGCCAACTATCACAGGAACCTGTAGTGTTTAACACCATCACCGCTGTGTGGTCCCGCCAACTATCACAGGGACCTGGGGCCAGGCAGGGAAGGGGCAAGTCAGACATGTGTCACGATGTGGTAGAATCAGGCGCTCGTCACGTTTTTGGGCGTCTGGACGTATTGGTATCACTTTAAATTTTGTTCATTTGACCATCATTTGAAAAAAAAATGTACACGCCTATCTTGAATGGAAGACGAGATATTTGCGGTTGAAGGAGGTTAGGATCGTCTGGTTTCAGGGGTAAGATTAACCGGAAATCAGCAGCCAAAGTTTGGTCATTTTCAACGTTTGAGAGTCCTTGAAAACTGAAGATTTCCATTAGTTGTGGCTTAACCTGTGTCGTTGCTTTTTCTCAGTAAAAATCCACACCGAAGTGTCTTTTTAAATGGACGTAAAAGGTATGGAGCAAAAAAAACACCCATTAATAAGAAATAATTGTCAAACTGGAGGAAAAATGCCGATATTTTCGATTTCATTATTGATTTTGACGAGCGCCTGATTTCCCCACGATGCCTCACAAATGTCAGAAGACCACAATGAGCCGGTGACATTTCCTGGTGGTGCCCAAAGAAGAAAGTAACATGAGTCTGTCTTGACGATGCTTCCCTCAGTCGTGGTGTCGGTCCTAACGGTAGTTGGGAAACATGGCCGCAGGTGGCCTGGGAGGTGCTCAAAGCAAAACTTGTCATTTCACAGAAATGTACCACGACGCGAGGCAATCAGGCGCTCGTCACATTTTTGGCATATGATTAGTTTATTGGTATCAGTTTAAAGTGTGTTCATTTGCCTTGATTTGGTAGGGAAAAAATCTATATTATCTTGAAGAGTAGTCAAAATATCAGCGATTGAAGAAGGTGGGGGTTGCCTAGTTTCAGAGGTGAATTTTGTGGAGAAAATGGACGCACCAAAGATGATTTATTTGAGTGTTCGTGGAAACTGAAAATCTACATTTTTTTGTGCCATTAATCACGGTTTTTCAATAAAAATCCACCCTGAAATGTGTTCTCTAAGGTGTATGAAAGGTGTTATGCCAAAAAAAAAATGAAATTCAATTTCAAAAACTGACAAATCTGCGAAAAATGCGTTTCTTCACTTTGATTATTTTGACGATCACCTTATTTTACCATGATGCCTCACAAAGGTCATGTTCTTACCCCGGGGCCCAGAGACAAAACCAGATAATCTGGATTCTGAGTAGCTTTTTAAAAAAGATGGAGGCCCACTGTCATGTGACATAGAATCTGCAGACTTCTCAAACTTGACAAAGGTTTTTATGTTCGTGACGTTAAGATGCTTGAGTCGAAATCTGAACTGAGACATCGGTGTGGCTTCCTCATATCAACCGATGTAACAGCACAACATTCACTTTTGGCTTTTTGGACGGTACTTGGTGTACTCAGTATTAAAGCAACTTTTTTTTCTTTTTTTTTTTCTTTTTCCTTTTTTTTTGGGGGGGGGCTCTCTCTCTCTCTCTCTCTCTCTCTCTCTCTCTCTCTCTCTCTCTCTCTCTTTTTCTTTTTCCTTTTTTTTTGGGGGGGGGGGGGGGGGGTTAAAATGATTAGTTTTACACCGTTCCTGTAGACCGAAAGGCTAGAACACAAATGGCTGCTGGATCGGAAAAGTAAAGTAAAGTGAAGCACACCTTTCCTCTGTCATGTGTGGGGGCCCTCGTGGCCTACAGGTTAAGGTGCTCGCCTCTCATTCAAAGGTCCCGGGGCGATTCCGGGTAGTGACGGAAACATTTTTTTCTCTAAAATTGTCTCCTTTCGCCTCCTTTCCTGCTCTCTAGCAACGTTCTGTCGTCTGCTTACGACTCCACTTTCTGCCCCTACCTATGTAGTTGCAAGCGGCGTAAAACAAAACAAAACAAAAACAAAAACAAAAACAAAAGGCCCAGCACGACAAGAAATCTGCTGCCATGACGAAATAGCAGTGTCGTGTTGGTGCGTCAGTTTCACTCCCTGTCAGTGCCCACGACTGTTTCTTACTCACCGACAAATCCTGTCCCTGCTGTTTGGCCGGAGTGAGGTATTAGGCTAGGAGGTACTTTTGGCTCCAAAAAAGTGGACCAATGATCAGTTGATAAAAGTAGACCGTGTGACTGGCTGAATGCCTGGCCCTCTTATTTGGCGGGAAAAGTGTGTCATGCGTGGGTACGAGGGAAGCCTTCTGCTCGTTTCTTAGTTTGGAAGAATTTGACGGGGCCCAGAGAACAGAGTACAATTATGTGCCTCAATGTCCTTGGTATTTTGCTTTGTTCAAACCGATTTAAAGGATTTGGATGAAAAAAGCACGATTTGTTTAATCGCTCGCCTCTGTAGTTCTGTGCTAGCACAGGGTGGTTTGCAGCGAACGTTTGAAAACGATCACCCCTGATCTTATTGTTGGAGAGATCTACACCTAGCCTTCTCGGACAAGAGCGAAAAATCTCGGAGGTCCCATGTGCACGTTGCGCTCGTTAAAGATCCCTTGGTGGTCCAAAATCAATAAGAGTAGGCTTTGGTATTGCCACCCGAGCAAAACTCAAAATGTCCTACCTGCTGTAAATGTTGAATGTTGTAATAATATGATCTTACTCAGTTGCGAGCGCTGTAAAATACCTACTACTCACCCCCCCCCCCCAAATCCCCCCCAAACCCCCCCCCCAACCCGCCCACAAAAAAAAATCATTAAAAAAAACAATATGAAAATAACCAACTAAACAAAAAACAGACAAACAATGAGAAAAAGTCTATCAGTTTAAATTGTTGTTTTGACGCGGTTTTCATAAGTGTACTATTGTAACATTGTACCATTATAGCCTTGTAACATTGTACCATTGTTTGTTCCCGCCCTCAGAGTTCGCCACCAGATACTGCACAGAGAACGGAACCTGGTTCTTCCACCCAGTGCTGAAGAAACACTGGACCAACTTCTCAGCATGCCATTCCACGGTGGAGATGACGGCCGATATGGTGAGTTGGTGTGTTTTGAGTTTTTGTTGTTGTGCGTTTTTGGTGTGTGTTTTTTTCATGGCATCCCCCCGACCCAAGCTCTCCGGCTGGAGACAGAGAGACGTCTCTTTCTTCCCGCGACACCCACAAGGGTATAAGCATCGGATAAAAGTAAAGTAAAGTGAAGTTGGTTAGTTTCTTTGTTGTTTGTTGTTGTTGATTTTTTCTAGGTTTTTCTTTTCATTGACCCTTCCCAATTCTATCATCTGGAGCTTTTGTGTTTAATTACTTCCTGCTTACCGATCCCATAACCCACGAGGATGGCAGAGGCGCTGTGTGATAGAGAGCCTCGTCATAGTATGTCTCCACTGTAATAGTGACCACGAAATGTGCAACATTGGGGATTTCAAAATTAACTGTAAGTCTTGTAGTAAACACACAGGAGAATGTTTTCAATATAAAAAATAAATAACCAATATGGTGAGTTGTTCTTTGCTTTTTGGTAGTTTTGGAGCTTTGGTACTTTATTTTTATCAGAATCTATGACTCGCACGGTCAAAACTCCCCCTCCCCTCCCCCCCAAATCCCTCCCTTTTCCCCTAAGACGCTTTCGTCGACACACGAGACAACCTATCCCGATACTTGGAGAAGTACCTCGAAACTTCACTTGCTTTTACTCCCCCCCCCCCCTCCAAGGGCAGGGTTACCGACCGGAGTGTCTTTAGGCCAGTCCCAAAGGAGGAATATTGACAAGTCCTTATGCACAGTACAATTTTAAATGGACTGATTTATCAATGTCATGCTCATACTGTGCCGAAATTGCATAGGGGCAGTTGCGAGCGCCGTAAAACCACGAGGTTGCCAAAACGGAGTTGATATAACCTGAAAGGTGATGGGCTTTTTTCCAAGTCAAGACGATTGAGGAATGATGAACATATTGCTATTCTCTGAAAAGTTTAACGAAAGGGAAAATGGTGGTAGATCAGATCTGCCTTACGAATACGGATCGTTGAGATGTAGCACGGACAGACGTCTCATGGGGCTCATCTTCCGAATTCTGAACCCTGGTGACGTTTAAAGGGGTGCGAACGGTGTGTTTGACCTGAAGTGGTAGTTTTTTCTTGGAATTTTTAGGTCTGATTCTCTACAGGTCCTAACTGACGGACCATTTCCGCCCTTGACATCAAATAAGGCCATAAGGGCACATAACCATTATCTCCGTACCTTGTGCGAAACTTCCGAAATGAATTGGTGGTGAGGAATTGTTCAATACAAAAATCTCTCTGCTCTTTACTAATCTTAACCATGATTTCAGCAGGCAAAGGAAACTTGAGAAAAACTATCTGCCAACTTTTGTTGGCCAGTCAGACTACTGTAGTTTGCAATATGGCGCAATCGTTTGGGATTTTTACCGGTAGGCCATATGCGAACTAGAGCGTCATGCTACAAAAACGGGGACATAGCTGAAAATGGGTTGTTTTTTATGTGCTTCGTAGAGCAAAACTATTCTGTGGATTTATCTAAAAATTAATATCAGACAAATTTCTTTTGACTTTCAAATGTTGGGTATAAATTTGAAACGCAAAACTTCACTGTGGAGGTACATCACCAAAAAAAAAGAGTTATATAGTTGTTTTGGATCACCCTGTATGTGATTGGCAGTCCATGAGATTCGCTCTCTGTCTGTAAAAAGTCCGCACTGAGCTGCCAGAGAAATCAACGGTTGGATAGGCCGGGGTTCTCATCCAGTTGCTTCCTTTGAACGTCGTTCTTTTTGAAACATGCGTTATTTTCCGTCTAGCCATCTTTGAAGGCCATACGCCACATTAAAAGAATGATACTCATGCGGGCACGTAAATGCATTTCTACGTAAGTCAATAATTTTCTAAGGTAATGAAAGACCATTTGTTAATCAGGTTCAACGAAACTGTAATGAAGAAAGCTAATCACTCAGACAACGTTTCTGAACGATTAAACATACGGGCATGCTCGTTTGGCAATAAATCAAGCCTTGATAAAAAAACAAGAAACACAACTGAAATAAAGGAAGAGGAAAAACAACGTTTAATGGTCCTAACAACGACCTGGAACGTTGGGTTGTTTCCGGAGATACATTGATTGATTGCCACCGAGGGCCGGAAAGGCAAGCAGCCGCCCACAGACAGACGACGTCTCTGATACTTTCCCGCCCCCCCCCCCCCCCTTCCCCTGGATCTCCGGCTCTCACGGCTGACCTTTTACAGGAAGCTACCCTTCATTAAACTACACTGTTGTTAGGAATTTTTTTGTCTTTTCCCATCTGCGAATTCGGTCGTCGAAACATTAAGATTTTGGAGATGCTCGCTTTCCCTGCAGTTTAATGTGATGGTCGGTGCATACTTATCTGTCTATGGGCGGTGTTAATTGTGTCACGACGCAGTGGAATCGTGCGCTCGTCATTTTTGGACTTGTAGAGTTATTGACATTTTCTTATAGCTTGTTCATTTGTCTTTGTTTGGATGAAAAAACAAACAACTCTTTTATCTTGAATAAAATAAGATAATATTTGCGATTAATGGAGGTGGAGGTTGTCTGGTTTTAGAAGTAAAATAAACGAGAAAATGGCCGCCAAAGTTTGGTGACTTCCGTAGCATATTATGAGTTCTTGTAAACTGCAAATCTACTTTTTTTTTTGTTCCTTTAATCTACATTTTCTCTTAAAATCCTCACATAAAAATGTTTTTGAATGGACATACAAAGTGTTGAACCAAAGATACTAAAATTCGAAGAAAATGTCAAAACTGACCAAAAAATGTCGATTTCTCGGATTTTGTTATTTTAACGAGCGGCTGATTTCACCACGATGTATCGGTTTGTTTACTGTCTTCCATACGCCGCTGGACGTGGAGACACCCTTAGTCATTTGGTACCGTGTTGGAATTCGGAGAAGATTTCTGATGGCTCTGGTTTGAATCCCAAATGGGGGAATTTTGGGTATGGGTTGTTTTAGGGGAAATTTCAAAGTCACTGTGGGATATTTTGATTAAGTAATTAGCCATAATTTGGAGTTTTTCATTTCTTAGCCTTATTACACATTTTATATTCATGTTATATACCCTTCCTCTCTTATGGTTAAGTTTTACTGCTTAAACCCGATGACCGCTACCTATTCCAGTCACAAATATCTAGACTTCTATTCAAGATAGACGGGTACTTTTTTTTATCTAAAGGTAGATGAAATAAACAAGCTTTAAGATGATACCAATAACTATATGACCAAAGTTTGACGAGTACCCGATTCCACTAAGTGGCGACGCTAACGGTTTAGTAACAACCATGCACAGTTAATAAATGGTATATCGTCTTAACGATGTATAGTTGGGTTTTTTTAAAATTTTGGATCACCCTGTGTATTATACATACATATCAGGGCTCCTTATCTTCTCATCTCTGTACACTTCCGTATTATCATGCTCACTGGGAATCTCCGCTGACAATTCGTCCCCAGGAGCACGCAGACAGGCTCAACCTCATCCGGACAATTGGCTACGGCGTTAGCCTCTGCTCCCTCGTCATCGCTGTTCTCATCATGTGCTGCTCAAGGTAAAGGTTTCACTTTCTGGTTCGAATCTAAAGCTCATTTATATAATGTACGTGACTGTAAGTCTGTGTGTGTGTGTGAATGTTTATTTGTGCGTGTGTGTGTTTGTGTGTGTGTACATGTGTGTGTGTGTGTGTGTGTACGTGTGTGTGTGTGTATGTGTGTGTGCGTGTGTGTGTGTGTGTGTGTGTGTGTGTTTGTGTGTGTGTGTGTGTACGTGATGAAACAACAAACCAATGCACCAGGATCTGGACAAAAAAAGAAGTTTCTTAGCTTACCTTTCCTTTATCTTATAATAAAGGCTTTACCAATTACAAAAAAAGAGACTGTCTTTTCCATTTCAGTAATTTTTTTTTTGGACTTACAACACATAATATTATGTCGTGAACCTCCCACCAGATTTGACGTCTACGAAAAAGATAGCATAATATGTGGGGCACCATGGGGAAATCAGGCGCTCGTCAAAATAAGGAAATCGAAGAAAAACGCAAGTTTCCGCCAGTTTGGCAATTTTTATCGAATGTTGTTTTTTCGCTCAACACCTTTTATCTCCATTTAAAAACACATGTAGGCCTATGTCTTAATATTAAAAAAACAAAACAACAAAAAAAAACTTTAATTAAAGGCACACAAACGTAAACATTAAATTACCAAGAATTCTCAAAATATGGGAGTCACTAACCTTTGGTGGCCATCTTTTCGCTAATATCACCAATGAAACCAGGTAACCCCAATCTACTTCGAAGGAAACTATCTTGACTTCTATTCAAGGTAGATGTGTTGTTTTTGTATTACTAAAAGTAAAACTAGTGAGAGCATTCAGGTGATACAAACAACCCCATTTGCCCTAAAATTGACGAGCGCCTGATTTCAGCACAATGCCTCCCACATAATATTTATGCAGCCGTAAAGCTTCCCCTAACGAGCCTAGGATCACAGGCAGACTTCCAACCCTTTGTCTCCGCGCCAACACAATCATGATGTATTGCGTCAACAATTACTGGAAAAATAACCTTTTCCTCCTCCTCAAGGCAGGTTTTCTAGGACGGATTTAGAACGTCGTTTTTGTTTTTTTGTTTGTTTTTGTAAAGTGTTTTACGGCGCTCGCAACTGCATAAGGTCATATGAGCGCGCGGGAGACTCCTAATATTTTCAGTTGGTAGGAAATTTTGAATTTTGCCCGGGTGGCCGCCGAAGCCTACTCTTATCGATTTTAGACCACCAAGGGATCTTTAACGTGCGCAACTTGCACACGGGCCCTCCGAAATTTTTCGCCCTT